TAGAGGTTTACTTTCCTTGACTCCTTCCAAGTGGGCCCAATCCCTCTCGATCTTGTGCGTATCACTTGATTTGTGTACATTGAGAGCTCGGCAGCGATCGGCGAAGTTCGCTTCACTATATCTCGCTGTACGATGGTTGTGACCTTTCTTATGGTGACCTCATTTACAGAGTTCAACGTAGTTTTTCTTGAGAAATACTCTGAACAATGGTGTATACTATTTCAAGAGAATAACTATGATCCAGTCGTTTGTGCCTTTCCACAATTCATTTTTGTTAAACTCTCTGTTTCTTATCTCCCAGGTAATGGAAAACAATCGAACACAGTGTTCCGGACCTTTTTATACCGGTCAGCGTAGTGTAGCGCCTCCTTTGGTGACCACTGATTTCACTTGTCGCGACGAGGGAAATTGTAATCCCCGTTTCATTCGATCGTCACTTTATGCAGTTCCTATCACATCCGATCTGCTCAAAACCGTTGGTATTCCATTCACCCTCACAGTGTCTCCGTTTGCGAAGCAACACCCAGATGATCCGAGAATTCTCGTGAGTGACATGGGAGAACAGGTGAGTAAAATTTAACCTGTTGCTTGTTGCTTATCGTACATCCATTTTTATTTATATGATCCTCTTACAATGCATGTTCACAAAGATTTCGTTGTGGGTTTTCATTATTGGAAGAGAAAGCTTTTTTTAACTATTGGCTTTACTTTATCGTTCGTTGTACACAATGTTTGAGTGTGTTATAAGCATTTGTAGGCTTAATTAGACGTGAATAGGTCTCCAAACTTTTTATACTTGGATACTTAGATTCGAATTACCGTCAATATTCGCTCAAGTGCGTTCACAGTTTATTCATATGTTTATGCTTTTGTCACTGTCGCATTTATCATTGTTTCATACACTGATTTTTCTACGGGCTTTCCGCATCATATTTTAAGTGTGCGTGTTGGTTGTCAATATTTAAATTTCATCTGCTTTCCAATTCTTTTATTGTATTTAATAAGAGTATGCCAATTCACTCTGCGTTAATTTTTTTTACCTTTCAGGGACCAGTTCGATGTACTCGCTGTCGTGCATATATGAGTCCCTTCGTAAGCTTTATCGACGGTGGGCGTCGCTTTCAGTGCCCAATGTGTAACGGTTTAACTGATGTTCCCGAGCATTACTTTGCTCATCTGGACCATACAGGTCGCCGGACAGATGCCTATCATCGCCCAGAACTCTGTCTCGGAAGCTATGAATTGTTGGCCACAGCCGAATACTGCAAGAATAAAGAATTGCCCAAGCCACCGGCATTCGTGTTCGTACTGGATGTCTCACAGTCAGCTGTTCGTTCCGGTCTTGTTAATCTTTTCTGCTCTACTTTTGTCGAACGAATTCTGCCCAATTTGCCCATGTGAGTTCTATTGCTATTATTACTAGTATATCGAGTGCAGTAGGTCTCAGGACGTGCGTTCGAAATGTGAAAAGCCAAAAATCAGTGTACACACAGACTGCAATTGAAAATGTACGATAGGATTTAAATACTTTCAAAGCGATGATAAGAACACTTGTAAATATCACATTCACCTTCACAGAACATCAGTGCCTAAATATTTTGACCGCGATTTAGATGGTCGATCCCTTTTGTTTTGTTCTGTTCAAAAATTGAATGTCAGGCGTATGAGTTATCATATTTTTCCTGGGATGTGCGGACATCGCAAGGCTCGTCGTCGTATGTTTCTATCCGCTTTTGTTATTTTCAACTTCTATCAGAGAGAACATTATAAGGTAAAATAGGTATTGGGTTTATTTGTCATCTTCGGTTCATTAAACATTCCCAGTAACAGTTCAATTAATCATCAACGCCACTACCTCAACGTTTTTAAATCGACGGTGCTCCATGGTCTTTTGGTTGCCTACCAAAGAAGGAATTTCCCAAGAATTCCGAAATACCACAAATTGTCTGGCCAGGAGAAGCTCCGGATATCTTCAAGTACATCAAGTACATCCCTCAACTGAGACCTGATCTTAATCTAAACCAACTGTAATACTTAATGAAATAGTGTAGTTTAAATGCAATGGAAATCTTTGTGATGACCGACAAAGAGCACTGGACAGCTGTTTCCTCCTGTTTGTGACTCATCAACAGTGCGTAATTTTTGTCCCTGTCAGGACTCGAACCGCGAACCTTCAGGTTGGGGCTTCAAACCCTTACCCCTGAGCTACGCGGTCGACGGTCATCACCTTATGTATATGGCTCAATCATTTTAGACGGCGAATGTTTGGATTAGCCCATTCGGTTTTTCACGGGCACCAAGCATTGTTGATGATCCTAGGTGTGGATTTCACTCCTTGGTAGATCATCAATCCCCCATCAGTTAAATTCATTGAAATGTGATGGAAATCTTTGTGATGATCATCACTTGGGTACTGCAGTCACCTGTGGATTGAGGCTTCGCCTTCTGCACTTTCCCTTCCTGACCTTAATCACTAGAAGACCATCCTACTGATCGATGGTCCTATTCTAACCTCTAGTCTTCAGTCCTTAGCCCATCGTCGAGCATTTACTTCACTTTTCCTACTCTACCGTTACTAATTTGGATTTTGTTCTTCAGAGCTTACCTCGTCAGTTCCTCTTGTAAATTTTTCCGCCCAGCTCGCAGGCACCTAGTAATCATTATCATATTTCAGTCGCTGGATGTCGTACGTCGCTGCTTGAGTCATCTTTTCCCCAAGTTGTCATGTTATGGAACATACTCTCTCTCTCTTTTCTCTCGACTTACAAGCTTTCAATCTTTGAACGCAGAATCGATAAGCTGGATCTTGCGCAACTGTTCCCCTATTCTCCGTTTTGTAGTGTCTTTTTTATTGTGAGTACCTCCCCCAAGCCGTAATTCACATTCTGTAGTGAAAAGTTAGCAAACACCAACCGAGCCTTATGAGTGCCTGCCGAAACTTCATCCATGATGCGTCCTCGATGTCAAATGTAACTATCTAGGTAGCAAAGTTTGTTTGCTTTCCCTATCGCTTCTCCATTTTTACTAAAAAACAATCATGTAGCAACATTTGCACTTTGAAGATGCAAAACACAGCTGCACTAGCTCTAAGACTATCCAGAACAGCGACTGAAGTCAATCAGGATGCTGTTGCACCTCTCATCAAGAGATTTCTTATCCAAGAACTTTTTTTGTCTCAATCAATCAATTTTTATTTACTTTACTTGATAGTGTAAGATCAAGATCGTTCGCAACGGATACGATTGGACGCAACAATTCGCGTCGTACTCAGGACTGCATACCGCATACAGTATTACTTTTACGGCCAAAATTTCCCTCCCGAAGTTCGCAGTTGATGTTTTCATCGATAAAATGTGGTAAACGAGCAGCGCCATTGGTTTTACACTTTTAAGATCCAGGATGCTAAAGCACTGTAAGTCTGTGATCTCAGCCATTTTAATCCGTCGGTAGGCATCGATTCATGTGAAAAGATTGATAGTTTGACCATAGTCAACAAGCTTGTTTTCATTGCTTGTTATCAAACTTACTTTCTCCTAGGGATCACATAGGATCTTTCGCCCGGTTCTATACCACACCTGCCCTAGTGGGTCTGTATGTAGTTCGCACTCCAAGTCTCGGGACTTAGGTTGCCGGTTATGATCACTGAACTGCGGATCTTCCTGACTATGGGGTTCCACTCCGTCTACTGTCCGTCACACATCGATGTGTAATAAAAAAATATATAGCTCTTCAACTTTGGGTGAGTTTTGTTCGGATGAAGGCTTCGTCTTTGGGACTATGGCGGCGTGATTTTACAACGGTTAGATGACATTCCGGTCCAGTATCTGTGAACTGGGAAGGAGTGAGCTTGGAGGTTGTGAGGCTACAGAAGGGAATTGGGGGCCACTACCTCACAAGCGGGATTGCAGTACTTCGGTATGCTTCAATAGTAGATAGAGATGCGTTATTGCCTATAGGGTTGTCCTTATTCGTACTAACTTTGAGTACACTGGCATGAATCTTTTTAGACAAGTGTATTGCTGTAGTTCACGCATCTAAATCCAGACTGTCTGCCAAACAAATCACGATACAGTTATCTTAATCAAAAAATAAAAACAAGCGAAAAGACCAAATCATAATGAACAATGTAGGATTGTAAATTACAACTGGAGCTTGATTCTTTTTTCATTAGCATTCACGAATTCATGTGCCAAGTGTTTATGCAATGGATTTCTCTTTTTGCATGTTATCTTTCTGGTGAGGAAAAAAGATCTAGCTAGTGTAGAGCTATATTATTATTATATTTCACACTTGTCTGAGGACAGACTGTGCCAAACAATACAATAATCTTTATCAAAAAGAAAATGTTCTATGATTGGCTTGTGTAGAGGTTTGCCGTTCTCTAATTTTACTAACTTTTTTATCTCCGGTCGTTTTTTTTTCTCGCTCAGAGATGAATGTGATCCGGATGCTTCAGCGAAATCTCCTATTCGTCTCGGTTTCATCACGTACGATCACCAAATTCACTTTTACACTCTGACACGTGAACAATCGGGTGACGGGTCTATACAAAACGGATCCAGTGAGACACAACAACAGCAAGGCGCGTATTCAAAACCACAGATGAACATTGTTGCGGATGTAGATGAGGTGTTTGTGCCGGCGGTGGAGGGATTCCTTATCCCACCGGATCCGGCCGCCATTCAAAATCTGCTCCAAATGATTCCGACCCAGTTTAACACAGATCCAAATTCTGGGGTTACTGGAGCCGGCCTGACTCCGGATGCCCTACTCGGTCCGGCCATACAGGCTGGACTGGAGGCGTTACGCGCTGCAAATCGTCCGGGAAAACTATTTGTGTTCAATTGTAACCTGCCCACAATGGAAGCGCCGGGTAAATTGAAGAATCGAGACGATCGACGCCTGGTTGGAACAGAGAAAGAAAAGGCGAGTTCTCATATGTGTATACCTTTTTGGGCTAGTTGTTAGATATAATACTACTAGTGGAAAGAGTGATGAGGAAATTTCAACGTGTATAGAATGTTCACCTCAATAAGAGGTATCTTTTTTGTTGGTCAAATTTTTGTTTGCAATTGTTACTTGTTATACATAGTGTACATTTCTAAGGTCAGGTCAAACCGGAACTTGCGTTTCGGCTTGGTGCAATGGTTTGTGGATGTGTTGTATAGCTTCTCCTAGGTTGAGGAAGAATTGAAGTAAAGTGAAGTCCTCCTCTTTGGAGGGATTTGCACGTTAGATGGAAAAATTGCTTGCCGAATGACTTATCTGAGGAAGTAAAATCTACATAATCGTCCAAATTCGAGCCGCAGCACTTGCATGGAGACAGATTGCCAACGGACATGCCTCTGAAGGTGATCGATAACGCGTTCAACAATCTGAAGGTAGATCACAACATTACAAACCATAGTTTATTCTAGTTCCAGGTAGCATAGACTACGCACAAATGTGACAGTTACCATTTTGGCACTCGAATCTTACAGCAATTGATTATATTCGAAAGGCCATGAGCTATTATAATCAACTGAATCACATTCTACTGGATACGTTTCCATGAGGCAAACTGGAATAGGTTGGAATTTCTTCAGTAAATAAGCAGCCACGGATAATTATCGACGTCGGAGGACGTGAGATGTTCTTGGAGGTTGCTAGATACTACAAGTCTGCAGCAAGTAGAGCTGTACGCGCTGGGAGCATCTTGAAGTTGACATTATGAAAATGGTCTTTAACCGTGTTTTTTCAACTTTTTACGTTACGTTACGCATGATTTACAGTATGTATCAACTCTATCATCAACAGAGATAAAGGAAATGTTCACCGAGAACACAACTTATTGATCTGGTGTTCAGATGTTGAAACAAATCTGTCTGTCATGTTTTAGTTTTTAACAGCATCGTGTAGGTATTCATTTTTCTGTCCCACATCCTGCGATACAAAAAACGAATAAGCGGTGTCATTTAGGATCTCTTCTACCTAATGTTATTTCTGTATAAGCTTTTAACCCACCCGTTTTTTCTCTTCTCTTAATCTTTTGCCATCCTTTGTCCATCACGACGAGACTGCACCTTGTGGTAGCTTGTGCACTTCTCTGACCCAACGAGCTATACAGGATAGCTTTTGTCAAGCCAGGAGATCTTATCATGCCTGGAAGGTCAGTGGGTCTAGGTCAGACGAAGTCCAGTCGCCTGGTCCTCCAGGTTGAGAGTTCGACTGGAATTTGCGTTACTGTCGGTATAAAATGGTGGAGGAGTAATCGATCCAAGTAAATGGGCCTCCATTTCGCTTCACCCACTGCCTTGCGGTTCTTGTCAGAACTAAAGGCTTTGGTTGAGAACCCTAGTCGTTCTCCTGCTTAGTAGGTGGACAACCTAGCAATACCCGTCTATCAAACCCCAATGCATACACAAACTAAAAATCATTATATACTGCATCGGTCGTCGCTCAGGATAGTGAGACCGCGGTGCCCATTGCATCGAGCGGGGTGTATAGTGATAAGTGGTCTACTGCTCAGATTTCCAAACCTTTGTTTCATTCTTTGTCTTCAATACCCAGCCCTCTCCATTTGCCCTTCCTTCCAACCTGTAATATTCCCTCAAACAATTTGAATGTCGCTCGCCAAAGGTCGTTGCCAAATAGCACTGTAAATAATGTATCACGAAGTGAATTGCAGATTCCAAAGCCTCGTCGATCACTGAATTTGGGGTCCTTCAACTTTACCACCCGATTGATGTCGTTTCCTGAAAATATGAAAGTATACTTTTTTCTGTTTCCTTATTGTATGTCTTGTAACGATCCGTCCTTGGGTTTGCTCAGTCACCAAGACAATAAAATGTGTGAAAACGTGCATCTTCCCTTTCAGACACTTCTCACACCGGCCAGCGATTTCTACACCGGTCTCGGTCAGGTCTGTGTGGAAGCCGGGTGCTCGGTCGATCTCTTCCTTTTCCCCAACTCATTTGTTGATGTCGCAACATTGTCGGAAATTCCACGGTTGACATCCGGTCACTTGTACAAGTATAACTGCTTCCAGGTAAGTTTCATCCTTCAAATTATACTTATCCGTTTGTTTTGTAATCCATTGTCGATATCGAAGGAGGAGGGGCAGCTGGTCCCAAATATTTTCATTTCATCTTTCGATAGTTCAAGCGAGTGCAAACCGGCGATTGCCAACCGAATTTCAAGCGGAAAGTGGAAACATTAGGCTTTTCATTTCCCTGTTAGTCACTCATGCGCGTTGTTTGGCCTGTTTTGCTCTCCACTTTACCGAATCGAACAGTGTGATTCGTCATTCCAAATTCCTTGGGTTAGGTTGCCAGTTTCCACAACCGTGTAACTGTCGGCTTTGCCCGTTCTGCTGTTTATTACGTTTTGAAGTAGAAACAGTAGTAGAATTGGGATTAAATTTGTGCATATTCGGTTCGGTTCAATTCAGTATGTACAACCACTAATCAAGCACGTTCATGTACCAGTTTTGGTTGCTATGTTTTGGCTGTCCATTTGGATGAAGCAGCAGGAGAAAGACAGGAAATTTAAAATCTCAAAACCGAGATCGCTTTGCAGAATTTTTACCACATATGAAGCGAATTACAATATAAAATCTAAACTCCATAGTCAGAAGACACTGTAAAAAATGGGGGGGGGGGAGCGTTCAGCCAAAAGCGGATTTGTCGAGCCTGCTTTTAGGGAGAGAAAGCTCAGCTCGCGTCTATATAGCGCGGCTCTCCATTAGTCCGTGCACTTTTTCTTGCGCCTCAATAAACGCTCATACGTTCTCAGTTGTCTTTTGACTGGATTTGTTAGGGAAAAGTATCGCGGGACACGATTCGGTGATTTGGTGTGGTAGGCACAAAATGGCGACAGGCAAATCGGAATTCGCAATGAATTTTTCAATGAGCCAGTTCCAACAGCGCAAGCAGATGGAAGCTGAATTAAAACTTATCAAATCCTTAACGCAGCAGCTCAACCCAAAAACACTCAGCTGCAAACAGTTTCATATGTGTTTCAGTTCAATTCCACTGAAATGTTTGCCGAGTCAATCACTGAATTCAGGTATGATTCTGAAGCTAACCACACTTTCGGGGTATGGACGAGGGTGAGACGTTCAGCTTTTTACACCCCAAACGAAGCATCAGACGAGTGTTCCAGTGATGCCTAATTACGAAGGTTGATATCTGAGGTAATATGGCAGTTGGGATCCGTAACAGACCAGTGCTCTAGGTTCGACGCTGATAAACTGAAGATGGAGGAGGTGAACGATAAACAACTAAAAAGTGATGATCAAATAAAGGAAGTCGAGGCGTCAGCCGCATTAGATGAAAGTTACGATTGGAGATGTTAAGATTTTGTAATCTGGATACGTCGACTGATTGGTAGATGAAAGAAGTGGGTAGTGTATTTGAGAGAAGTTGAAGGTAGTCAGCGTCCGATGAAGAAAGTTTTAGGCTTGGTTAAACGAAGGACAAGAGGAGAAGACTACAGAATCCATGTTGTGGCTCAGTTCGCCAATGTGTGTGTTTGGAGTTCGTGGCTGTTTTTCAAGTGGGCAGTACGTATGTAATTATATACGGTCATAATTCATAGTGTGAGGAGAAACCCAGCAACCATGAACCTGAAACTTGGAGTGGCGAACCGTGTAAAACCTCAACAGAACAGGCGCGGTAGTGAACCAGGTGACAACGAAACTCTCTTTTACGCACACCAAAATCTGTATCACGCAACTGCCTTGGGTCTTTTATAATGAATTCGTTCGATCAATGTTAGTAGCAACTCCAATAAAAATCCCGTGATTGGGCTTCTGTACTACTTGTCTAGGTCACCTTTTGCGTATTACCAGCCATTTCTATTCCAATGTAAAGAAAAGCTCATTAAGTTCCACCAGTAGCGTATAGTTAATTCACAAAGCACTGCATGGAGGGATTGGTCTGCGTACATGTCCCTCGTATATATATTTCACACACGTCTGAGGCCAGACTGGTACAATAATCTTTTTGAAAAGATAAACGTTCCATGAATTGCTTGTGGGCAGAATACTGCCAGATTCCCCAGGCAAAGGCAGGTGAGTTTTCTTGAGGAATCCACAACCGGATCCTTTGGCTAGCCAAGCCTCACCCGCAAGACATCGGGGCAGAATGTGAAAACCGCAATCCATTGAGAGCCGTTGTCCAGTTCATCGGATCATACGCTTTTCGGATGGAATCAAACGTCCGAGGTGCCCAATACACCTGGATTCCCAGTAGAGCCGGTGACCATTGCCACAACCAAAAAGGCGTGGATGTAGTTCGTACGCCTCCTCTTGGTTGGTTTGGGATCTCGGCCAACTACCCTAAGTGAACTACCAGTGGTCCACCAACCCGATTATCGCTCCGGATGTCGGCTTTTCTTCCTCTCACTTTGGTGGGAAAACACCTCCGCCACGAGAAGGCAGTGAGTAGGGCTTCCTC